GGAGCCCGATGCGGGACTCGATCCCAGGACCCTGGGATCATGACCTGAGCCGAAGGCAGACGCTTAACCATCTGAGCCACCCAGGCGCCCTCAGAACTGCTGTCTTATCTCTCACACACCCAGTTGATATTCCCCCTGTCCTGAACTATCTAGGGTCAAGTATCAGACAACTAGGGACAGGCCCTATGCACCGAGGACCACTGGGATTCTCAGATAAGCCAGTCCTAAACTGTTTCCCTTGCCCTGCCTTGTCTTTCCTGTGGGAACCCCAATAAAGGCTCTGGCCCGAGCTTTACACTCCTTCCTGCTTCTGCCTCCAGAGAACACTGGTGCCTCTCTCTGGGGCTCGGTGAGGCATGGCATGTCCTCTCCTCTCAGGTAATGCAGGTGGTAAGACATGTCCTTTCAATGATGTCAGCCTGTCCCTGTCATTACTCAGCCAGCTCCATAAATTAAAACTCCTGTGGCACAACTGAAACAGAGGGACAGTTGTTTCTGATGACCTACCTCTGGATCCTCATAGAAAATCATCACCATTATTCAATTTAAAACTGTAGTTTTTCTCAGAGAACGGCTTTATGGGACAAATTTCATTTTTCGAAAGTGCGAGTTGTGCCAAATTAGCTCCTCAGCCCACGGGCCATGGAAATGCTTGGATTTACATCCAGGGTAACAGGAAGCCTTGAGGAAGCCTTTGTGTGACTGTGACATGGTCTGATCTGCTCAGGAATCTGCCAAATACACAGCGGATGGCACCTGGGGAAGGGAGGTCCAGGGAAACCAGGGAGATGGTGGCACCTTAGCAGCAGGGGTTGGGGTAAGCAGGCAGAATCGGGCTGACTCTGAGGGCAGAGTCCTTCGGACTTGCTGACGGTTGGACATGGGAGGCCAGAGAGGGGGGATAACAGTGACTCCTAGTGAGACCTAGACCTGAGTTGGGAGGTGGGTGTTAGACCTTTTATTCCATGGGGAGAGCAGACACACAGGGGATGAGACGGGGGGAAAGGTGAGGGCTGCAGTGACACCTTGGGGATCCTCAGTGAGAATGGTCTTCAAAGGTGCCGGATGGCCCTACACCAGCTGGCCAGCACAGAGCATACCCAGCACCCAGCTGCTTCTCACCTCCTCCACTGGGTCTACCATGGTCCAAGCCACTGTCAGCTTTGCCTGGAATGTAATGTTGCCACAGCCAAGCCAGCTTCCACCCTAACTGGTCTCCCTGCTTGAGCCCTTGCCTCTCTGCAGTCTTCCCAAAACAGCAGCTATAAGCTTATTTAGTAAGTTGGATGATGCTACTCTCCTGCTCAGAATGCCCCCAATGACTCCTCATTTAATGAAAGCGAAAACCAAATGTGGGATATTGTATTGTTCAGATGCCCCAGGGACCTCACCCAGCTCACATGCTCTTTCTACAATGTGATCTCCATGTCCTCCTGTGAAAATTAGTAACAGCCTCACTAAAATGTAGTTGGGAGGTTTGGGGCGGGG